ATCATTAAAATTAGAATTGTGGTATGATTGCCCATGAGACAACTATGCATCTGAGTTCAATTGAAGTGGATGTAAGCATTTACAGGCAACCGAATGGCCTTCAACAATGAGAAAAACCCATACTGTATAGTCGGCTGTAAAAGGCCCCCTAAAAAAAAAAAGTGAAACAATTCAAACGGGAAAACCTACAGCCTAATTTATAGCACAAGAATTAACAAAAAACAAATATGACAGACATGACTAAGTAACACTTAAGGTACAATATATGTATAAGAGAGAGGTGAAAGATACCAAAGGGACATAAACACGTTTATTCTAAAACCAGTTGTTGGCATGATACGGGTTATGTTCTTCTCATATATTTTATGATGGTATGATACTAAACCCCTAACAGGAGTGATTGTGCTTGATTAAGATATGATGACGATATAATATTTCAATCAGTTTAATTGAGGTCTGGAGCTGGCATGTCAGTAACTGCTAGTCCTTTGTTAATTTATATATCATTGTCATTTTGATTAGTTTCTTCTGTTACCTATTCTGACATCGGACTCAGACTTCTTTTAAACTGAGTTTTACTGTGCGTATTGCTGTGTGTTTGTCTATACTACATTGGCTAGAGGCATAGGGGGAGGGTTGAGATCTCACTAAACATGTTTAACCCTACCACATTTTTGCGTATGTCCCAAGTCAGTAGCCTCTGGCCTTTGTTAGTCTTGTATTTTTTTATGCTCCACCTACAATAGTAGAGAGGCATTATGTTTTTTGGTCTGTGTGTCCGTTCGTTCATCTGTCTGTCCATTAGTCCGTCCGTCCATCTGTCCCACTTCAGGTTAAAGTTTTTGGTCAAGGTAGTTTTTGATGAAGTTGAAGTCCAATCAACTTGAAACTTAGTACACATGCTCCCTATGATATGATCTTTCAAATTTTAATGCCAAATTAGAGTTTTTACCCCAATTTCACGGTCCACTGAACATAGAAAATGATAGTGCGAGTGGGGCATCCTTGTACTATAGACACATTCTTGTTTTAATTTTAGTTCATTTATATGTTTTGGAGTTTAGTGTGATGTCCATTTTCACTGAACTAGTACACAATTTTGTTTAGGGGCAAGCTGAAGCCTGCCTCCCAGTGCGGGATTTTCTCGCTTTGTTGAAGACCCATTGGTGGCCTTGGGCTGTTTTCTGCTCTTTGGTCGGGTTGTTTGACACAGTTCCCATTTCCATTCTCAATTTTATTCAACTCATAAGTCGAAAATAAACTGACAAAGCCATAGCTAGAAATAAAAAGAAAAACAGTACCCAAAACACAACATAGAAAACTAAAGACTAAGCAACACGAACCCCACCAAAAACTGGGGGTGATCTCATGTGCTCTGGAAGGGTAGGCAAATCCTGCTCCACATGTTGCATTTGTCGTGTTGCTTATGTAAGTAGAAACCTGGTGATAAGTCTTAATTCGGTAGGTCACTTTCAGGGAAAAGAGGACGGGATTGTTGTTACAACAATTGGAACATATCTGTCGTCATCTGTGAAACAGATATTCCATAACGGTCAACCAACTGGTAAGGCGTCCGTAAATTTTACTAAGGAATGATTTCAACTTCACCACTTAGAACTCTTGGTTTAATAGCTTCCTTGTGAGCAGAAAAACTCTATCAAGGAAATCATGATAGGAAATACAGGTTCTGAAATAACATATATACTCCGCATGCAGGTGACGCTGGAATGTTGCTACATTTATGTATAGAAAAGGGATATGGACAATAATTGGTTTATCCAAAATGAAAAAGAATATAAAATAAATAGTTCAATTTTTTTCTCTCTTTTTTGTGTAATTTTGTTGTTTTTGTACTTAAAAAATTGTTGTTGTATTGATCAAAGATGCATAAATAGATTGAGAAAAAAACTGCTCAAAGGATGTAAACACAATGTTTTATAATTCATTGAATGTGGAATCTTACATTTGTTTAGTATATTACTGTAAATTCTGAATTTACAGTCATCATCACATTTGGAATTTCAAAGAAAGGGATGTTTTTTTTATTGCTGTTCTTAAATATCTTGATGTTAAGTAAAAAGATTTTCAGTGATGAGTAAGACACTTAACATATAAATGACGACATTTGACACCGCTTAGCTTGCTTCATGGAGGATGTTCAGACTTAATTCATAAGATGTGCTTTATACATCTGTGATAAGAAATAATATTTAACTTTCTGAGTCTTGTGTCCACAGGTCAAAATTGCAGTTATCAATTATTTTGTCATAAAACATATTATCCAAAACAATTTTCTTAGACAAGCTAAAGATTTTTTAATCATTAACATAGAAACATGAAAAACCTATTAATCTTCAGCCTTTGTAGTAATCTTAAATGTTTTTTGAGACTAAACAGGTGCTTTATAAGCTTTCCAGAGAATTTTATAGAGAATAAGAACAATTGTCCTTGTTTTTAGACATTCTGGATTTGATGCCCATAAAACTCCTTATGGATTCTTAGAAAAGCGGATGAACTATTTATCAAATCAACGGAAAGGAATAAGTGTTGATAAGTAATTTCCATTATAAATAGTATATAGTTCTATTTTTAGTTTCTTTTGCTGTAATAAATGTTTATGATTTAGAAAAAAGATGTTAACTGATCTCAAAACATTAATTGCACAAGAAGTAAAAATTAATAAGGACTTGGTATAAAAATATATTGCCTTAACTGGATTGAAATTTCACTTGTTCTTAAACATCATATGTGTAGGTATATATACAACATTGTCAGAAAAATCAGAAATATGTCTATTTAGTAAAAACTTTATAATGATACATTTGTCACAACAAACTAAAATCATGATAAATAGTTTTGTTTAACAGAAATTTTCCATGAGTTATGATGCTTAGACTGTTAGGAACTTTAACACAGTTTTACAGCATCAAATAACATTATCATGAACTATAAAATATAATAATGGGGTAACTCTGAGGTGTCAACTTTTCAAACCTCAAAAGAGTGCGATCTCCCGGTTTGGGGAATATTTTCTAGAGGGTGGGAGATCTGTCATAAAACTATTTAATTTTGTTTTTCATAATATTTACAAAAACAAATGTTTCAGTTAAAATATTACTGCTTAAAATATTTTTGTAATCAACATTGAATAAATTAGCTAAAGCAAAATGTCAAGTAGATGGTTGCTCGATATCTATATAGTATTAAATGAACTAAAAATGTTTTTACAATAATTTTTTGAGACAAAGAATTACTTACCATGATATTATTTTTAAAGATGCAGAAATAGAAAGGATTTCCCCCGAATTGGCAGATTTGATGGGATAGGAGACCTGTGTTCAGGGGAGATTTTCGAAGGGTTACTTTCACAAATATCTAGAAAATTGAGACATATGGTAAAACAAGGATCAAAAGTAAAGGGGAGAAAAAAAATCCAATTTTACAATTGAAGTAGCTGTCTCTAATGTCAGCAAAGGGGAGATAAATCTCCCACTTTAAATGACATAATGCTGATTAGATACATGTACATGTACATTTAAATGAAATTTTTGTACTTATTAATGACCATTTTCTATTAGATTAACACAGAGACATATATACTAAATGTATTTATATGTCTCTGATTAACATGATAACTTTACTATTTTTTAATTTCATGTACCAAAAAAATCCTTTTTACCTACTCCTTCCAGTTACTGTAAATTCAGAAATTATTGCGAGGTTTTTATTAATGTGAATAATGGGACTGAATGAGAATGGCAATAATAAGATGTCGCATTCAAATATCTGATAGATATATCTGTAACAGATTTTCTTGGAATTACAATAATTAATCTCGCATTTTTGTCCGTTCTTCAAATATCAGAATGATCAATGCACAAAATAATCTCTGAATTTACAGTATTTATATGAAATTATATATTCATGATATTGGTCTCCAGTCTTTTTCATGAAGTTATCCTGTCTGTATCTGTAGTTTTGTATCTATTGTCATTAAAGGAAGTCTGTTTTGAAACTCTTGTGTGGAACTGACAGTTTTTGATATGGGATTCTTAGGGTTCTACCATGGTGGAAAGCTCTGTTATTACTTTATTTTAAATACAAACTTTCCCAAAAAGGGGAGTTTTTCAGAAGCCTTAAACATGTAGTATGTTGATAGGTATTAAAAAACTTTGAGTTTTAGGTTTTGTGCAGAAAATTAGTTAGAAAAAATATGAATCCGGTCACTATTTAGACATTTAAAAAATATCCAATATTATGTGTCTTTTTTTATATCAAATGACAAAAACTGCAACTAGTACAGTAAAAAGGGTGAGGTTGACAGAGGTTTCTATGGTTGTAACCTGGATGTAATGGGGGATTCTAATTATATTTTTGCTTTTACAATTTTTATTTAAGGTGCAGTCATTTTTTAATCACAAACACCAAAAATTCTAAACTCCTACTCTCAATACCAAGTCTATAACACCTGCAATGTAAAAGCTTTTTTTTATTGTTGTTCAATATATATGTTTTTTATAAAACCAATTTTTCCCTAGGTAATCCTGACTATATGTGATTATTTTTAGAGTAGATGAATGACATATTTATTTATCTTTTGTTTTTTCTCTGTCTTAAAACCATTTTATTGCTAGAACATAAGAAGAGCTTTACCTATTTAAGTCTTTAGAGAATTCTTAAATGATAAAGACCATGTCCTGTAAAGAAAAGTACTCATATTTCATCTATTCTCAAGAGATATCAATAAAGATTTATATTACAGTAGCTTGTTAAATTATTATCATCATTTTTCATATCTATGTATGTCTGTAGGGGGACTTTATGCCTGTTGATTATATATGTTTTCTGGTAAACATAATAATTTGCTTAATTAAAGCCACATTGGTAACTGGCATCCTACTTAATGTTGATTTCAAGGTAGGAAAGCCACAAGGCATCATCAGATTTGTAATCAATATCAGAAGTGATCATATTGCATGTAAAATGTTTTATATTTGCAGTAATGATCAGTGAGAGTTTGGATTTAAGATTTGATTGGGACATTAAAGGATATTAACTTACTAATTCAGGTAAGACTATTTAGATAATTGTACACCATTGCTATTTGTCGGTAAGTCCCAATAGAAATGTGTCATGCAACTATATTTTGATTGTTAAAAAAAGAGGTAGGGTGGTCTATAAAATTTGACTTTCCTTTATCTGGCTGGAGGCCAGTATATATGCTTTCTGCAATCTGGCATCTCATCTGTAAACTCTTTTAAAGGTCTTTCCTCTTCAACTCACCAATAGCAAGGGGGGTCAGTCAAAAGAAGCACCCACCCCCATTTGAATAAAAATGGTCATTAGTTAGTGCCCTTAAATGGCATTGTTTCTTACATAAAGCTTTTTTTTGCCTTTTTATCTTTAAAGCTATAATAGATAGACAGATTAAGAAGAGAGCAAAAGCATCAGCAATACACAATTTAAAGCCAAAAAATTCATTCCTTCTCAGAGATATAGCCCCTAAATGATGAATTTTTATTGCTCAATTATCTAACTTTTATAGACAGATGGGAACTGTGATATCTTTGAAAATACAAAGATTACAGACACCATCAATTGACTACCTATATAAGAGTAGTGACTATTTTTGGCCAATTTTAGCAGTTTTGGCCTGTTATCTTGAAAACTGTTGTATTTCAAAGCCAAGACAAAAATACAAAGAAATAACTAAAGATGAAAGATAACTGACTAGAGACAGACATATGGAAACAGTTTTATTTTACTTTGAAAAATTGTTCTTAAAATATCTATATACATGTATTCTTTGATTGAGGAAAGTAAGCTATTATTAAGTTTTGATGTTTTTTTTATAAATTGTGCTTTTCAAAATCTGTGACTTTATTGATGTTCTCCTCTTATCTCCTACCATGCATTGTAGCTGTAAGAGCAAATGCTTACATTTCAATTTTAGTTACAAACTTGTAATTACTTGGTACATGTAAAATTAAAAGTTGAGTTTTAGTACATCCAGAACCGAAAGCTTTCTTCCATACAGTCATTTGCACACTGTTTCTCTGTGTCTGTTCAGATTAAAAAATTACAGGAATCCATTTTCGCAAAAATTGTAATCCTTTAATCCTGGGTTGGTTTGATGTTTGCACTTATAATAATGTGGTTCTTCTCAGTGTATTCACATCAAAATTTAATGTTCAGTGCAAGTCAAATAAATGTACTGAAAAACAATTTAATTTTGGCCATAATAGAGGGTCTGGGCCACCTCAGCCATTACCCTGTATCCTCCCCTTTGCTTTGAAGATAAAATAGTTTAGAAGCATTTGTTCACACTGTAGTAACAGATGGAGAGGCCTTGAGGTGGAAGACTGGGTGTCAGTGCGATTTGTCAGACGGTCTGAGACCACAAAATATGTAAACCATTTTAGTGGCTGAGGGATTGTAGTCTGTTTTTATTATTTAACATAGAAATGATTTGTTTCAGGTTACCCAAAAATGTGTAGTATGTGAGCAATTTAATTACTTTAAAAAGCTTAATCTAAGTTATTATTAAAAAAAAACTGTCAATTTACTGCTTTAAATGCTATAACTGTAAAAAAGGAATATATGAAAAAAAAAATCTATGGACTGATAAAAAAATTAACATCTGCTGAAAGTATCTTTATCATTGTCATAGACAGAGAATTTATAATGACCATGTAAGGTAGACAACTCTTTTACCTTTTTACATCAGATGACTGTGAGGGCATTCCGGTGTATTGTTGCCACAGACATTTCTACCCACGTGACTTTCGTTTTTGACTGATAACCGAACGCAAAATAACATTCCTTATCGCTTGTTAGATATCAATTTCATCAATAAATATTCATGAAAATAATTTTTAAGAACATAGATAAATGATATGAAAATGTTTTGTCGTGAGAAATATATATGACAATAACAAATCAAGAATACCGAAAATTTGTGTTAACGCATGCATATCTCAAAAACGTTTTGCGTGAAAATATGAATGCCTACTAAAATCCAATCTATTAGAAAAATCGAATTATTACAGAAGAGTGTCCACCATGCACTTGCATGGTACTATTATTAGAATAGTAGAATAGAATGTTATACAAATGGATGAAAATTATATATACATGTAACTGTAATATACAATATTAATATAATATATAACAACAAACCAGAGTATACTGATTTGTATCACTACAATATAATAGTTATTATGGTGAGGTTGAATTCCATGTCATTTATTAATTATCCACGCACGAACTTGTCTCAGAAAAAAAATATCTATGCACCTTAACCTCACTTTCAGGTATAGAGATGTATTTTTTTTTTCTTAGACAAGTGCTAGTGACCATCCACAAGAACTTGCAGTCATCTGATGTTCAGTACTTCAGTACTTTGATTATTTTTATTATGCGTTAATATTATGAAATTATAACATTGTATATTGGTAGATATCTTTTTACCTGAAAATATATTGCATAAACTGAAGATAAGCTGTGAAGTAAATAAATATAAATGGCTTCTTATCATGTAGATATTTAAGTAGATAATAAGTAGAATTGCAGTTTATGTTTATTTGAAGTGCCTGTTGATGTCAGATATGATGTTATAAAAACATGCATTCATGAGGAAATTACAAGAATGTAGTCTTTTAAAATTTCAATGCAGTTAAAAAAAGGTATATTTGTTATTCTTGGTGTTTAAGAGATGACCATTAAAAGGTTAAAGGGTCTGAGGGTAGGGTAGATACACGGATAAAGAAACAATTGCAGTATTATTCAGAAGTCATTGCAGCCATGCAGAGAATAGAAGAAACTTGTTGGGCTATATGCAACCGGTGGAATATTTCTTAGGACATGAATGCAAGGGAAAGTGATTAAGACTAATTAATGACATATGCTCTGTAGACAAGTATCATTGTGTAACTGTGGGGGTAAATAGCTTTTTCATCATCTCACAAAAATATAGGTGTTTGTGATACTAAGAACTGCAATCAAATATACATTGGTATTGGTGCAAAGAAGTTCATGTGATTGTCATATTGTGTACAGCATTGAAATATATGCTGATATATATATATATATATATATTTGTGATATTGAATATTAAATGTGATACATGTATTGAAAAACACACATGTTTGTTATATTGGATGTAAAGAGATCATAAAAGATTTATGTTGGACTTATAATAGATTGAGCTGCTTGGCATCTCAAGTTCTGAAAATAATATATAAGATAACATACATTTATTTGTTAATTTCAGACTATCTGAAACCCATATTGAGAGGACTATTCTTAAAAAGGTGCTGGATATTATTTGTTAATCGAATCTCACAGGTAGGTACACTATAGTACATGTATATACACAATTGCCAATGCTCTTAACAAACAAATTATACTATAAGTTCAGAAACTTTTTCATTCATTTATTATTGCAAATATTGGACAATGTGATGGCTATATAAGAATAATAAAGGAGGTGTGGTGACTTATGATTGCCAACTATCCTCATAAGTCCTAATGATGTGGATGTAATCAACTAAGTAGGTACATTTTAACTAAGAAGCCATTCATATTGTGAGCAAATATTCCTATGCCAACTGTTTTCATATATAGGATAAAAACCTGCAAATCTGTAAATTCACAATTTTTGCAATGTTTCTATTATTGCTAAAAATTGGTTAGGTTAAGCAATAACATGTCTCGCATTTCACATTTTAGTGCATTATTTCCCCTGAAATCCTTATTTGCATGCAGCATTTCCTGATTTCTTAATAATTAATCTCACATGTTTGTCCATTTTACTTAACATCCAAAACTGACATCAGTTTTCATTTTTACAACTATAAAAAAAATAATGGTAAACAATTTGAAGCAGCATATCTATAATTTAGGCTTTTTTTATCTGCAGCTAATCATGTATCAATAATAGCATGTGTTTCACAAACATTACTGGTTTTTCATTTGATATAAGAATTTAATTATGCTATCAAAAAACATTTTACATATACTGACATTAAATTCAATCCCTTCTCTTAAATGTTGCCATGTTTCATGACTTGAAGCAGAGATTGGGGATGCAGCCATATTTTATAATTGTGCTGCAGATGTTCTATTTCTGTGGGACGTTTATAGTAGATCTGACCATTCCCTGTTTGTTACTCTGTATATACATAGTTTGGCTTCTTAAAACATTTTATGAGGGTCAGTTTATTTCTGTAGAACCCACATCAAATCAAAAACATCTGTTAAAAGGGAAACCAATGCAGACTATTCAGACTTTTATTACACAAGGATAATGAAATGAATTAACAAATAGCATTGTTTTCAGGTGCAATTTATTTTCCCATTCCATGAAATCATTTAGAATTAGATTTTTTTCTACAAATGCATTTAACATCGTCAGACAGGGCTGGGCTGGTAAAGAATTCTACAGAAGTATGGAATAAGTTATAGAGCTGGTAATCAAAGTGATTAGTTACAACAATTGCTTTACAGGACTTTAACTCACTTTTCCATGATTCTTGAAGGAATAACTATATTTGACATGGTTTGCAATCTCACCAGAATGATCTTGGACAGCAAGTACTTGATCTGCAATATAATTTTAATTACTCCTCACCTCCTTCTTGGTAAAAACCTTTAAAGATTGGTGAGGGTATATAAAAATCAATCTGTTTGCAGGTTGTGTCTGTTTTAGAACATTTGAATGCCTTATATGCAATGATAATTGGTGTTATTTTTGCTCACCTTCAAAAGATCTCTTTAGAATAACTTTTGAACATCTGTTTACTAAGTCTGTTATCCTATGACCTTTGAATGCCTTATATGCAATGATACCTGGTGTTATTTTTGCTCACCAACAAAAAAAGATCTTTTGAAAATAACTTTTGAATGTCTGTTTACTTAGTCTATTATCTTAGTATATTTAGAAATAGGAAATTTTTTTCTGGCCTACAACTTTTGTATCTTACACCAAACAGGATTAGTGAATCATGAATAAGATTGTAATATATAAGGTAACAAACTTAGAATAGAAAGGTATGTGGGGTATACATCAATGAGACAGACACCCAACGAAAAACATAACCTCCACAATACAATGTAAATAACTTACATAACCCATATCATAAATGTGTAATGTCCAGCTCACAAATTTTGATATAATTTATATTGAACAAGGAATTATTTTAATCTGGAATAATTTTGTATTCTGGAAAATTGATAAAAAATGTATGATGAAAAATAACCCAAATAAATAGGGTTAGCCATGAGTGTATGGCTAAAGTTCAGGTGACTTTCACTGATTTTTCAGTATGAACTAACTAACCTCCTTTGAAATGCATGCATGGCTAACCCTCCTTGATTTGGTACGTTTTCATCATACGTTTCTTATCAATTTTCCAGAATTCAAAATTGTTCCACATTTAAATAATTCCTAGTTATTGGTACAGTTGTTGTCCGTCAATGAAAGGAAGATCATGAATAAGGTTGGAACATATAAGGTAATACACTTAGTTTGATATGAATAAAAATGAATATATATGTGGTGAACACCAATGAGACAACCATCAAATAAAGTTTACCAATGTAGAAATCTTGAACATACCATACAGCCTTCTGAAGTGGACATTAACATCCACAACATGTGACAAGCACCTCATTTTGGACATAGCAATTGGTTTCATTAGTTTATGATTTATTTAGCTAAAACAAATATCCAAGATTTGATCTTGTTTGCTTTGTTAACAACATTACCAGTTATTGTTTATGTTTGATTTAATAAGAGTAAGTTCAGGATTTAATATAAGAAATGTGGTAGATGGTACAGGCATATCTATTTTACATTCAAAACCACAATTTATAATTTAAAACTATATATGTAATGAAGTAAAATTGATAAGAGATCAAGATCAGTATTCAAAACGCTTTTGAAATAGTTTCAGTTCTATTAACTTTTTTAGCATGAGACAATTATAATAGTTTTGTCTTGATTTTGGAGTTGCATTATGATTGTCATCTCTTTATCTCCAGAGGAGGGCAGACATTCTTCATACAGCATATTGATTTGTCTTATATTATCAGTCAGTCTCAGTAATGATTTGTCATTAATAACAAACAATTCTTGGTGTGAACATCTGATTTGGACCTGGTTAATTGAGAGTTACAATTATACAATCTACATATACATGCATACATGATAAAAGAATTTGATAATTGTTTTTATTTGCTGGAAATGTACTTATTTATGCATATAATTGCTCATTCCCATGGGCTAATTTCATACAATTCTGCATGGATGTTCATTGCATAGTCATTTTGGGATTTTTATTATTGAATATCACATTTTGTTTTTTTAGAAAAAATTATTAAGGACAACACACATGAGAGCTATAAAACGCAAGCTGTCAAATTCACAAATAATGTGCAATGCAAATATAAAAAGCAATAAAAATACTGATTTTCGACAGACTATTGTTTAATGAACATCTGAAAATGAACAACTGATCATGACTGATGTTATTTGGTAGAATACTAATACTTTTTAATATTCAAATTCAAAGATCCAATAAAGTGATCTTATCATACCTTCTCCTTTCAATGTTTGTGACAACTGGTGAATTTTTGAAATATTAACAAATGGATATACCTTGTATTTTTACTAAGATTGAGTAAAAATTCCTACCATTATAGTTCTTCAGCCAAAGTTAATCACTAATACAGAAAATAGTTGATGTGAAAATGATTTTTTGTTATTAATAAATCTTTCTATGTGAAAACTTGTAATATATTACATGGTTGCAAAAGAGTCCATTTGAATTAATAACACCAACAAATCAATCTTTGTCCATATTAAATTTGATAAAGGGATGAAGGTAGAACCTGACAAGAACAGTTTTTGGACAGCATGTCAAACCTTCTCTTCCTTACCTCCATTTGATAACACAATCAATGTTGTACTTTTATTGATTGTTTGTGCTGTTGCTATTACAAAGAAGTGATGTTAAGTTTGTGTTTATCTTTTCCTTGGAGAATAATAGTATGAAAAGAAGATATTTCTTATATACAAATGTATAGTACAGTTCTTTGAAGTTGTGCCATATATGTCTGATTCATTTAAACATAAGAAAAGATGCTCACAATTTCAAGCTTGTTGTTTTGAGAATAATATTATAAACTTATTATATATTCTGTTATATTGTTATATATGGTAAAATCTTATTTATCATAGATAGTTTTTAGCATGACATTTGAAAAATAAAGATCAAAATCTTCTATCTGTAACAGAAAATGTCCTTTATAGTTGATAAAAATAGAAACAAATCATTACAAAAGGATTCAAACAGACTTTCAGCAATATTATTGGCTGAAGTGTGTTGTGTAAAATTTTAAACGATCATTAGTTCTAAGATCTATATAAGAAATTGGTTGCCTTTATAAAGTGATAACAACGACTCCTAATTGGCAGCTTGACTTATTATTGTCTTTAATTCCATTTCTGGTCAGAACATACAGAATCAATAGAAGGAACTGTACATTAAATGCTTATTGTTTTCTTACAGATTTTCCGTTAAGTGTTGGATTATTTTATGGAAATATTTACATAATTGAGGAGCATTCAACAGATTAGGAGGTAAGTCACAATAAAATCATTGCGGAGAACTGACATTCTGTCTTTTTATATATGGAGGAATCACATCAGCAGACTGTTTTCTTATTCATTTAAAGAAGCTTTTGAAGTTGTTATTGGAATGTGAACACTTTCTGTGAGTACAAACTATCAAGAAAATGGGAACATGATGTTCCGGTATATTAACAAAAAATATGATTAGAAAGAGCAAACTTTACAGACATTTTCCCTGAAAAAAGGATACAGTATTTTGCTGGAATTAGCTAAGATTGCTTTATTAATGTTGTTGAATATATGATAATAAATCATATAATATCTATACAATCTTGTGAAGGTTTGATGTATTAATGACAAAGTGTAAAAGTGGCATTAAGATTTGAAATTAGATATAAAAGATTTAAACTGTTTTTCAAATTCTTATTTTCCACTTGTTTTACACCACTATTTCTACAAATGACATTTTACTAAATAGCAAACAAAACTATGCTTATTTAGCAGGTTTTTAGACCTTTCTGTCACAAAACTTTACTTGGTACTCTGAATACAAAATTTGTCCTCGCACAGCAACTCCAGTATTTTGATTTGTTGATATGATAATCGTACTCAAAAACTTTTATAGCTATAACCCCTGGTATATCAGGGTTTAGTAACATATATGCTGTAATGATTGTAAATCTATTTTTTTGTAAATGTCTGACATACCAATTTATTCTCTTACATTTCCCCCTCCCCCTCCCCCCGGACTACAATGTCTTAAATCATTATTTAATGGGAAGCCTGTTTGAACAAAGCTATCATAATTAATTAAGATTTTATGGAATTCTATTATATTCTATTGAGTATAGAGCATAATTTTATTTTCATTTTAGTACCTGCCGGTAATAGATATATATTCCAGGACAAATTATATGGTTAAAGTAACTGCAAATTATAAAAGTAACCCTATTAAGATGAAAGAGTACAAAAAAATCTTGAATAAACAGAGATTTGAGGTGTTTGTCAATGAAGCAGCAACCCAAAGACAAGTCTTTATCACAAAGCAATAAAAACATTTGAGAATTGAAATTGTATTGATCAGTGTATACACAAGTTTTAATTTTTTTGACAACTAAAATAACACAAATTTAAAACCGTCACCAATTTAGAAGTGCAAGATATTGCAATCCAAAAGAAAGACAGAATAATCAGATATTGATTTACCCTGACATCATTGTAGAATAATTAAAACGGCAATTTCTCTGACCTCCTGTGTGAACTAGAACATGAAACCAACACACCATGCTTTGAAAAATTTACTATAATTCCAAAAAAAATTAAGGGATCCTTGCTGCCACCCCAAATATTACAGCACTATATCATTGTGTTAACTTACCACTTAAAAACCAAATTATGCCTTCCAGATTTGGCTGCACTATGTTACAAATAACACCATTGCTTTTTTTTGTGCCTGTCCAAAACAAGGAATCAGACAAGTACTTGCTGTATGCTATATTTATTTTGTAACTGCATTGTTGATATGTTTAAATGTCAAAAATGAAATCAAATGATTTTGGCCTTATTATAAACACTTTTGTACTGTGTATACATTGATGTGGTTTTCTTCATCTCTCTTTAAATGCATGATCAAAGACATTGTATTGAGCATAAGTTGTTTGTTCTTACTCTGTATCTTTGGAGTATTGCCTATTATCAGTGTAACATAACTAATACCCTCATGAAGACCTATGTCTCCTTTTAATTTGTTATAATGAAATTTCAGTGGGTGTCGCATGTGGAGCAGAATCTGCTTACCTTTTCGGAGCATCTGAGTTCACACCAGTTTTTGGTTGTGTTCATGTTGCTCAGTCTTTAGTTTTCTATGTTTTGTTTTGTGTACTATTGTATGTCTGGTTGGTTTTTTTATGCCAAGACATTGTCAGTTTGTTTTTCGACTTAGGAGATTCAATATCCCTTTGGTATCATTCTCCTTTCTTAATATAAAGTTCAGTTTTAGATATTTCATACAACTGATTTTATGTGTAAAATTTTAAAGCATTAAGTTGATATAATAATTTTCTATTTATTTCTATGACTTTTCTTTGGTATGCTTTAGGGAAATGTATGCTACACAGCTTTAAATCAAATATCCTTTTTCTATTTTATTACATGATAACAGTTGCTCCTTAGTGTCTTTCATAATCTGACTAATTTTTATTTCATGAACATTAGAAGGAAATTTAGGACTAATAAAGAGTTATTAAGCCTACGTTTCTATTCCCCATCATTCATCACTCCTGTATTATTAAACTGCAAAAAAAATGTTTGCTTTGCATGTTGATGTTAATTAAAGGATCTTATGTAACTAATGAAGTCTTCATACATTGCCTTGTTTAATAGAATAGCACAGACAGTAGCAAAATCTGACTATTACAGAAAGAGGCACTACAAGAAATGCTAAATTAAATTTAATTGAGATATGGTTCTTTGGATTGGCATTGACACGGTTGTACATTATGGCATTGTAATAAGCTTGAATTTGATTGACGCAAGAGTTCTTGTTCTTGATTAATTAAACCTCTTACTGTCAAATAAATAGAAGTATTTTCAATAGATTTCTAATGGACATTTACCATTTTATATGTAGCTGTCTTCAATTCAAAAGTTATATCCAAATGTTGGTGTGCTTATGAAATGATAGAACAAATTCTGTGTTTGGCTGAAGTGGTTAGCACAGCAATTACATGTTTGACATAAAGTTTTAAAAGAAAGGTCCTAAGACTGATCTTAATTCTTTTTGTGTTTATGAAAGTAGTTAGAAAGTGTAGGCAAGTGGAACTTTAAATTTGTTCATGCTTTGTACAATTATATTAAAACTTCTGCTAAAATTGGCATGAATTATAGATGATTTAAGTTGAGTGAGTAAAACTCTGTGTAACACATTTGTCAGGAAACTATCTAAGTGGTTGACAGTAGTAAATGTAGTGCATCTAATTTACTTTTAACTTATTCAATTAGCAGTTACCAGTAATTAAGTAGCAGTTTGAAAATCATTAAAAATAATTTGTCCTTGACACTGTTAATTGTTCTCTATTGCAATTATCAGTCTCACAGGGTAGGTTGAAAAAGGCTTATATTGTAATTTTTTGTCTATCCTTCCATATGTCTCTATTTTAAAAAAGTTTTAGGTTTTGGTCCATTCTTTAGAACCTTCCTATTTTATATGAATGAATTTCCTTACCATAAATCTCTTATATGATACAACACAATTGAGATAAATCTGGATGACATTGGCATTCATTTTACAGTAAGGTTGTATTTAGGTTACTAGTAGCATCTTTGATACCATTTTATGAATATCAGTTATATTTGCCCAGTACAGTCCAACACGTTTGCTTTAATTGGAGTCATTGTGGCCTAATTTTTACACTTTAGCAACTTGTGATATAAAAGCAAATGGCATGATATTTCATTACAGTTTGTCATTATTTATCCTTATATAGATTTAATAAGTCTTAAATGTCTGAAAGAATTGAAGGAGGATCAATATTTCTGATCATTGAAGTAATTCATAATTGTGTTGACAGCCTGTTGGAGTCAACACTGTAATGTCTTCATCACACCCTCTTATCTCCAACACCTCTGAAACTAAACTTATACATGTACTAATCAAACATGGAACATAATCTTTATCAAGAGTATTGAAATCCCCCATCTTTTTGATTCGTTGATTTTAATGGTTTTGTCTGGGCTGCAATGATAGTTCCAGAAGGGATAATAAGGGTTGCTATTTCTGGCAGCAATGTTGTCATAAATTGTTAAAAGTTTGTGATATAAAGGTTACACAGAGATATATATAAACTAAAGGGAGATAATTTTATCAAAATTTCAATGAAGGTTTGATGATAACCAACCTGAACTTGCGAAACCCTGACTTTCCTTTCAATTGTTTTGATCACATGATTTATGGAAAATAAAAGGTTTTTCAATCTTCAGGAATCTAGGTATCTTCAATTGGTGCAAGAAATGTTATTTTCTTCATTTCATTGCGCTTCATTTTACATCAAAGGTAGCAACAACACAAATTGGCTGCTTTTAGGTAATAAGTAATAATGAAGTAAATTACAGTGTAAACTGAGATTAATATATCTTCAGAAATCAGTATGCCATCTTAAAGAGGGTGATTGAGGGTAAGAACATGTATTTCTAAGCTATTTATTTGAAACAGAAAATTTGTGAAGCACTACAAAATGCAGAACTTAATTAAAACCAACAAAATGATTTCTGTTCAGAGGAATGATGAAGATTTAAAGCCTATTACTTATGTAAATGAATTCATATTACTTTTACAGAAACATAGGATTGCAAAACTACTCTTTTAAAAGCAGAAATTGAACAAAAGTTATTTTTTCTAAACGGTTAACAAGAGTTTAAAAAAAAAAAATCATATCTTTGTGTAAAGCTACCTTGGTGGATTGATAGGAATGAGATGCTTGCTTTCTAAGTGGGAGTTAACGTAATTGTTTTTTTTTTTTTTTATAGAAAAGCCACATAAGTCAGTGACAAAGAAATTATCCAAAATATATTTGATCTTGTGTGCTGAATATAGTTAAATGAGTATCTTAAGAATTGAAAGAAAGTAGACGGTTGGTTAAAGGGGCATTAGCTGTCAAATTCATATTCACCGATTTGACTCAAATTCTCATATTTGAGTTATAACATACTAAAAGGTATATTCAAATTCTAAAAAGTCTAAAATAAACAATTTTCGATGCATGGACTTGATAATATGTGTCAGCATTTCGTGTGTATTTTAATCTAGACGCCATCTAATTAACCATCGAGGTGACCTCCGAAGACTGCCGACGGTCATATAACTCGATATAAACATAAATATAGATATAAATAGACAGCGAAAACGTGCAATTGGATATTTTCTAGGTCTGTTTGATTTCAAAATATAGGTTAAACAAATATGTTTATCATCGTTTTTACCTGTATAAGAATGAGTTTTTGTAGGTCGAATC